GTGCCCAGCAGGCAGGGACATGGGCAGGGACAGTGGCTGGGCAGTGGGAAGAGGCAGGAACACAAATGTGGTGGGGCTGAGGATGGTGCTGTGGATGAAGACATCGAGCGAAGGGGATTGCAAGAGTCGTAGGAAACAGGAGGCGTGTGGGAAAGCCACTTTGGTGCTGTTAATTAATTTATCTGATGAAAGCTGTCCTTACCTCTAGCCTAAAGATTCATCTATGCAGCCCAAAGGCTTTGAGCTGAATCCACGTATGTGGTAGGGGAAGACAATAGCAATGAGGACGTGGAGGTGTGAGTTGTGCACACATGAGTGAGCAGGACGTGCCCCCAGGGGTTGCTGCTCGTGCCCAAATAAATTTGGCTGCATCTTTGCTGCTGGGTCCTCTCCCAGCCTCCCTGGGGTGTCCTGGTCCCTCTGCTCTGCAGTGCCCAGGGTGTTACAGCCTCTGAGCACAGCTCAGCATCATGCTGGGGTCTGCTCCTGAGGTTTGCAGCAGGACCTGGGCTTCACCTGGAGGAAGGCCAGCTACACCTCTTCTCCCTCAGCTGTAAGAGAAGTTGAATTTAACATCAGTGTGTGAACCAGGGGCTTGGCCCTTTTCCTTCCATCCCTCTGGTGCTGGAGCTGGAGATGCTGCCTACCACCATCTCCACCAGCCTGTGACCCCTCGTAGAGAGGACACAGGCAGAGCAGTGCTGTCAGGGTAAGCAGGCACCATCCTCCTCTTACTCCAATTAGATTTGCCTTTTTCTCTCTTGCTGGGTGGTGGCATTGACATGGCTGAGACCTTCCCCACCTCAACCTGGGAGCTGCCAACCCAGGCAGCACTCAGCACCCCTGCCCCAGCCTGGAAATAGGATGATAGGCTACAGGTGGCTGTGAGGAGCAGGGGGAACACGCAGGCAAAGTGGTGAGACATCCCTCAGCATAATAAATAGCAGCACCACACACCACCTGCCTACCTGTTATCAGCTGCTTTGTAGGCACCAGAGCAGAAAGGAGCTGGAAGAAGAGGTTTGAAAAGGGATGTGGAGAGACTCCAGGCTGCGTTAGAGAAAGTTTCTCCCACGTAGAGGGATGAGGTGAGAGAAAACATGAAAGCACTGGTAGGAAAATCTCACAAAAATGTCTCTAAGTGCTGGCTGGGGGTTCAGCTGAAGCCTCCCAGCAGGGTGGGGGGTTCAGCTGAAGCCTCCCAGCAGCGTGGGGGGCTCACTCTCAGATTGTCCCTACAGTTTGCAAACAGGGTAAATGAAGTATCAAAGTTTTAGATGGTCAGTAGGACCAAGTGAGCAGTTTCCTTCCCCTTTCCAGCTGGGAAAGGAAGGAGATGGTTGGGCTTGAAGATTTCCTGGGTGTGGGGTTTGCTCTGCAGGATCTGGGGACAGGGAGGGAGATGAGAGGAGAAGTAGCATCTCTCCCCTTGAACAGAAAACAGGTTCCCCGTGGTTGCAGTGGTTTTGCACCTTAATTATTTCCTTTGACTCTGCTATTGGGAACGGTTCTGTCCTTAAAGTTGTTAAAAGGGCAAAAGAGAGAGGAAAAGCAATCCTGACATCCTGTCCGTTGGGTCCAGATGTATCTCGCAGAGTACAAATTAGCGGGTGCAGAATGGAATCGCTTAAAGAGAAATTGAATGAGATGGGTATGCAGGCATCTGGCTTCTATCAATCATCGTTTTGTGTGATATGCAATGATAAATATCATCCTTTTAATGACTCTGATGGGAAAAAAAAAAGAGTCCAAAACATACACGCATGTAATGAGCCAACAAAATTCCAGAGCCTGAGATGTTTGAACTCTCAAAATGTTCTGTAGATGGAAAAACCCCAACTGACACCTCTTCTAATTTGCTATTGTTTGAGTTATTTTATTTCTTCCTTCCCCCCCCTTTTACTCTGGTTATATTTAACCTTTGTGTTAAATTAATCTTCTCTGTTTATTAACAACCACCACTGAGCCAGCCTCCTTCCCTCTTTTTCTTGGTTTGACAACTCAAATATTTGCTCCAGGCCAGAAGCTCTTGCTGGAGGTGCCTGCATTTCTCCAGCCCTGCAGAGAGGCACTGGCCAAGGAGCGATGGCTGCAGGTCTCTGGCTGGTCACAGATTTGCTTTTGAACTTGATGCAAAGATGATTTGGGCTCCCTTGGTTCAGTTCTTCATCGTGAGACCCTGGCCCAGGTTGCCCAGAGAGGTGGTAGAAGCCCCATCCCTGGGAACATTCCAGGTCAGGCTGGACGGGGCTCTGAGCAACCTGCTCTGGTTGCAGATGTCCCTGTCACTACAGGGGGGGTTGGACTGGGTGCCCATTAAAGGTCCTTTCCAACCCAAACCATTCTATGATTCTAAGGCAAGCAAACAGCACATGGGTTTGAACTGGGTTTTACTGGTTTTGCATCCCCCCAGCACCACTGCCATCCCTCTTGCGGGTCCCTTAGGAAAGCTGCTGGGCTCAGCCCCCACAGGGGCATCACCATGAGGGTCTGCAAAGTGGGGAAAGGTTGGAAAACCAGATATTTGGATCCTTCATTGGCCTATTCTCACCCAAGTTGGGAACTTTAGGGGGTTTAATCAATCTTTGCTCCTGGTGTAGCTGGCTGAATGACCAAGAGGTGGAGTTGATGCTGTGGGAAATGCATGAAGCCTCTTCTCCTCCTCCTGCTCCTGAAGGGCATCAGCCTCAGCAGCTCCTTTCGGTCCTTCTTTTGGAGGGAGAACGCTGTAATTCCTGGTGATGCAGGGGTTGGGCCCCCCTTGCTGTACCCGTTCTACTGGAAAAGCCTGGCTCAGACCAGGAATTTTTCCCAGCTCATTCCCTGGGTCTTCACAACATCATTCCCTTGAGCTGAGATCAAATTGAGTTTTTCAGGGATCTTCTGATGGTTTGGGATTCAGAGGCTTAGGTGTGTGCTGACCAGCTGGCAGCCTCCATTCCCTGAGTCGGGGTGGTCTGTGGGAGCAGGTCCCACTTCCAGGAGCACCCCCCTGCTCTCAGTGCCTGGGGGGATGCCTGGCAGGGCAGGAGGGTGGGGAGGGAAAAGATCCACTAGCAGGCATGGCAAAGCCCTTGGTTCCCACCTTGGCAGGGTATTAGCTGTTGATAGCTGGAGGACATTGATCTCAAGGGTTGGCTGGAGCTGTGGGCTCGGGGCTGCAGCAGCTTGTGCAGAAGTGGGGAGGGACAGGATGTGGGGAGAAGGATGTTGGGGCCGGATGGAAAAAATAGTCCCATTAAAACAGAGGAACATTTATCCTTCTGTTGGGAAATGCTTGGTGCAGAAGTCTTGAATCCTGGGAATGGTGTTATCTGCATGTCCTCGGCTGGCTTTGTCCCCCAACCATGGGACCAGTGTCCATTCCCAACCAGCCCTTGCTCCAACAGCCTCTCTGAAAGCTCTGAGCTGAAGGATATGGACTGAGCATCTCTGTGGTGACAGGAGCTGGAGACAGCCAGGCCTGGGAATTTCTCCCGACAGGGACCAGATGTGTCAGGAGGAGCTTTGCCAGAGGAGAGGCTGCACAATAACAAGAGGAGTTTTGTCACGGGTCCCCTCCCGTCTTTTAAAAGCAACACCTTGTCTCCCCCTTCCACCTTCCTTCCTCCCCCACCCTTTCCGCCACACACTCTTCACACCTCCGAAACCTATTTTGGGCCATCTGATGAATCCCAGATGCCTCGGGGAAGCAGCAGAAGTGGTGGTGCACTCCAGGCGCCACTTCACACCGCTTCCTTGGCAATGCCCCCGAGCTTTCACCAGCCAACAGAGCGGGGGAAGGAAGGCAGGGAGGGGGGGAAAGGAGGAGAACAAAATGGTAAATGAGTCTGGTCCTCAATATTGTGATTGTCTGTGGAGTGGTGAGAGGGGAAGAAGATCCCACCTGATCCTGGAGGGAGGTAGGGATGGTTGGGAAAAGGGGTGGGATGAGTTCACATGGTTTGGGATGGTGCTTGGGGAGGGGGTTACAGCAGCCTAGCAGAGGGGAGAAGGCAGCCTGGTGTCTGTCTGGAGCTGGGGACAATGTGGGACAGCCCTGGGAACCATCTGCCACCTCCTGAACATCCTTCACTGGCTTCTGTTCAGGCGAAGAGGGGGCCCAAGAGGAGGCAGGGAGAGGCCCCAGTGGAGGGAGGGAGCTGGGTGAAAGCGGGGAGCAAACACTGCCACGGTTCTCTCCTGTGTAAATCGGGTGGAAGGGGCAGTTAACACGACTCGAGCATCAGCCCTGACTGCCGAGAGTGACCAGCCTCAGCGCTGGCATCCATGGTGTTGGCATTGGTGACCCCAGCCCTGAATCCCGTCACCTTGTGCCCTTCAAACCCCCCACAGCCCCAAACTCCCCAGGGAGCTCAGCACATCAGCTACAACAGCAGCTCCATTTGCTTCAGCTGCGTTTCATTGGGGTTGATTTAATCCTGCAGAAAAGAGGGTCTGCAGTGGCTCTTTGTGCTGGGGGAAACAGCTCCTGGTATAGCAGAGCAATGATGTGAGCTCAGGGCTGAGATCTTTCTGGAGACTCTGGTGGGGTGATCTGTGGAAGTCAGGGACATCCTGGGCAGGGGGAGACTATTTTAGGTAGTGATGCAGGAATAAAGCTCATGGGGCCAGGAAGCTGCTGCTGGGAAGAGGGGCAGAGAGGCTGGCTGGGATAAAGAGAGGTTTTTATGCTCATCTCCAGCTCTCTGAGACAGCATCTGCCATACCTGAGCTGGAGTCTCTGAGTATTGAGAACTTAGTCTTGCCTCTGCTTTGTAGATGAATATCCAGCTGCAATGCCCTTGTAGCAGATAGGGAAGGTTGGGGAAAAAGGCATGAACCTGCTGATTTTTAGGCAGTTGAATGCCACAGCTCCTGGGGAATTCAATGAGAAAGCAGCCCTGGCTGTGTTAGATGTGAGTGGGTGGTTTCTAGCATCTCCACCACTCCATGCTTTGCTTTAACTTCTCAGCCTGCTCTCACCCTCCTGAAGGTATTTCTTGTCTGTTTTCTGGAAGGTTTTTTGTCAACTTCCCATCGGCCAAGCAGTACTTCAGCCAGTTCAAGCACATGGAGGACCCGCTGGAGATGGAGAGGAGCTTGCAACTGCGTAAGCACGCTCGGCGGGTCATGGGTGCCATTAACACTGTGGTGGAGAACCTCAATGACTCCGAAAAGGTCTCCTCTGTTCTGGCCCTGGTGGGCAAGGCCCATGCCCTCAAGCACAAAGTGGAGCCCATCTACTTTAAGGTAAAGGATGGGAGCAAAAAAAACTCTCTGGGATGCTTTAGTGATTAGGAAGAGGGCAGGAGAGAGGGAGGTGTGGTGAGCCAGTGCTGCCTGTCCTCGCCTGGAGGAGGTTGCCTGGTTATGGGGGTTGCTCCCCATGTGGCTGCAGTGTCCCCCTGCGATGCTGTCCCATGAAGACCACAATTCCCAAACACAGCCAATGCTGGAATATCAAGTTCCTCCCCCTGCCCAGGGAAACCCAATTCCTTCAGGCCCTCCGGTGTGGTTGGGGCTGTACATCCCTTCTTTTAGAAATCAAGCGCGATAGAAGGGACTCAGTAATCTGAGGTGCCTAAATTGGGGAGATGCTTGAACCTGCAAGCAGCACCCTGTTGTGCCTGGGTCTCAGCCTCCCCTCTGCCTGGGCAGGCTATTTCCCTGCATTTTCTGACCCCTGGGGTGTTGACAGACCTCCTGAACGCCTGTCTGTCCCACAGGAGGTTGTCATTCCCAGAATTCAGCAACTGGATTAAATTGTTATTGTAAGAAAAAGCTAAATTTGCTGTTTGCTGGAGAGTTATTAAGCCTTTGCTGTCCCCCTCCCTCCAGAAACTCACTGGTGTCATGCTGGAGGTCATTGCTGAAGAATACGCCAATGATTTCACCCCGGAGGCGCACGGCGCCTGGACCAAGATGAAGACCCTCATCTACACCCACGTGACGGCGGCGTACAAGGAGGTGGGCTGGGCTCAGTACCCCACTGCCACCCTGTGAGCGGCCAGCGGGGCCGGGTGAGGGGCAGGGAGGGCTTCACTCACCCCAGGACTTCACTCTGGTCTCTTCTCAAGATCTTCACTCAGTCTGGGGAGCCCGGTAGGGTCAGCTCTGTTAGCTGCCAAGTCACAATTTGATCTCCATGGGGTTTAAAAACAAACTAAAGCCAAAACAAATAGAACCACGAAGGGTGTGGGTGGGTGGGGGTGAAGTAGTTCCAGGGGATGCTGAAAGGGGATGCAGAGCACGAGGGGAGAGTGTTGGTTGTTGGCTCCATCTTATTGTTCTGGCCTGTCCATCACCACCTCCCACATCCTGCACCTCACTTGTGCCATCTCAGCAAGTCCCTTGCACAGGCTCTGCTATGCAGCAGTGATGTGCGACCTCGTTCACTGATGAACAAAACAACCCCCGTTTTCCATTCAAAGTCCCCATGTCAACCTGGCTCCTTGCTTTTGGGGGTGCGATGCTTATGAGGACAGCCAGCTGCCCAGCTGGCACCAAAAACACTTTGCTTTGCACTTTCTCTACTCACCTGGCAGGGTGTCAGGGCCCATGGCTGCGGCGAGAGCCACTCTCAGCTCTCCATCACCCTGCACCATGGGCAGGCAGCAGCCCTCACCTCTCCCGCCATCCACAGTCCCTCTCCTTGGCTGTTGCAAACCCTCCTGGGGCTGGAGAGAATGGGAGAGATGTGCTGTCCAGCATGAGGAGTGGGGAAGGAGAGGGATGCCTTTGAGCTGCCTCCTTTCGTGGCTCAGAGCATGGTGTGGAGGTGGCTTCCCCGTGTCGGCAGCAGCTGACGGCTGCATGCCAGATGCAGGGAGCTGGTGAGCCCACCAGCTTCCCTTCAGCTCCCATGGGCAGCAGGGACGTGCAGGAGGGTGGGTATGGATGGCACACCTTGTGCCACTCCCCTGGGAGCCGGCGTGTGTGCGTCTGTCTGTCCGGCAGTGGGGTGGTGCAGGGACGTGGGGCTGGGACAGATCTGTCCTGCTCACCAAGAAGGGGGTTCAGGCTGTGATCAGGAGGGGGAAAAGATGAAGTAGACATAGCAGGAGGGATTTCTGTGTGTGAAGAAAGATCCCTGACATGTTAAAATTAATAAATACCTTGTTACATAGAGCATATTCCTGCCCTCTTGGTGAAACTGGGTTCCCTCAAATAAAGTGCCTGGTAGAAATGAGCCCGTGCAGGAGCCGTGTCCCTCCTCGGGGCTGGCAGCGCTCCCGCCTGTGCCTGGCAAAGGGCTCTTCCCCTGCAAAATGAGACATGGCAGCACTCATCCTGCCTCCAATACCGACTTCTCCTGAAGCTGTGGGTGAGTCTGCTTGATTTCTGCCTCAGTTTCCCCTTTGGTTACAAAATAAGGGAGGAGGAGCAGCTCCATTGCCTCCTGCACAGAGGTGCTTGGATTTACAGGATGCTCTGGGGACCCCAAAGGTCTGGGGATGAAGCATCAGATGTGCTAGGAAGCTTTGGCAGCCTTGGCACTCAGTTATTTCTCAAAATGTCTCTGTTGTTTTAAAGCTCTAATATTAAGGGCAATGTTACCTGTTGAAGTGGGATGGGGGTTCCCTTCTGAGATTTCCTCTGGCCTCACTCCACTCCTGCCCTCGGGAGCTGGCAGCTTTCCCAGGGAGACCAGCTCCTCTCCTGGATGTCAGCTTGACAGGCAGCAAGTCCACGGTCCCTGGATGGGATCCCCACAGCTGCTCTAGGGACATATCCCCTGGCTCTGGGGACACTGCTGGAGAGGACAGCAGTAACCATCCCCAGGGCTGACCTCCCTCCTCCAAAGCAGCCAGCCAGAAACTCCTCCTTTGCTCACCACAGCCAGTTCATCTGTGCTTTTAATCATCCCAAGGGAATAGGATTTTTTCCTGTTTCTGGTGTTTTGTTTCCATGCCAAGGGGCCCTGGCTGCCCTCCAGCCCTGGCACCATTGAAGGGGTGGACAAGACACGGTGCCCACTCCCAGAAAACCTCTTCCCCTTTCCTCTGCCAAGTGTAACAGCAGGTTTCTGCTCAGGATCCATGTGAGCCCATTCAGAGGGGTAAACCCCCAAACCCCAGCCCCGTTCCTTCTGTCACTCATGCCCAGATACTGGCACAGCCCATGGCTGGTCAGCAACCCTGGAGATCATAGAATCACAGACTGGTTTGGGTTGGAAGGGACCTTAAAGCTCATCCAGTTCCAACCCCCCTGCCAGCAGCAGGGACACCTTCCACTAGACCAGGTTGCTCAAAGCCTCATCCAACCTGGCCTTGAACACTTCCAGGGAGGAGCAGCCACAGCTTCTCTGGGCAACCTGGGCCAGTGTCTCACCACCCTCACAGCCAAGAATTTCTTCCTCCTATCTCATCTAAATCTCCCCTCTTCCAGTGTAAAGCCATCATCCCTTGTTCTGTCACTCCCTGCCCTTGTCAAAAGTCCCTCTTCAGCCTTCCTGTAGGCCCCAGAAGATCACTGCCCAAAGCTGCGGGGGAGGCGGGCTTGGGGGAAACCATCTTCTGTTCCTCTGGGCTGGCTTAGATGCAGCTCAGAGTTTGTACCATCACCTGGTGCCCTGGCTATGGGCAAGGAGGGATGTGGGGAGGGCTCTAAACCTCTTGTTTGTGTTCCCCAGTGCTCCCTCACCTTTCTGCAGAGCCCTGGGACAAGGGTCAGTCCCAAAATAGCCCCAGGACTCCACTAATGCCACTACACACACTCTCTCTGGCCTTGCAGTTTTTTTCTCCCTATGTCCCACCGTGAAACAGGTGGAGAGGAGTGATGGGGCCAGGAGTGATGGAGCCAGAAGCAATGGCATATCTTGGGTGTGTATAGAGAATTGGGTGGAAATAACTGCTCAGGACACAGATGTCCTTGGCATGACAGCACAAGGTCAAGGGGTTTATGAAAGGAAGGGACAGGCATGAGGTGACAAGTGATGCAGCTTAACTGATGGGACAGCCTGTCACTTAGGGCCAGCACCCCTGAAATTCAGCCCCCCAGCCTGCTCCTGTGAAGGTGCCAGCAGCTGATGCCTCTGGCTCACATTTGAATGTCAAAGCAGCTGCTCGTCCCTTGCAGAGTTGGCAGAGGTACCATTCAAACGTCAGCTGCTGGTCGGGGTCAGGATTAGGGAAAAGACCTGTTCAGGCATGAACTTTGCTCCAGTGCAAGATTGGAGAGCGTTGCTTGGAGCAAGACACTCAGCTATGTTGAGTGTGTGTGTGTGTCACAGGATGCTCACGAGCACAACTCCACCGATTCCTGCCAAAACCTCAGGGCCAGCAGCGTGTATTTTTCGATGAGTTCATGTACTCCCCGTGCTCTGCAGATGCTGGGCCAGGGCTGTTTCCGTACAGGGATGTTTCATCTTCAGACAGAGTTCACACATTAACCTCGGAGGTTAATATCCTCCAGGTGGGAATTTTATTTTTTAGTGCAAACCTTTCCCCTCCCTTCCCACAATCAAAACTGGGCTCAGAAAAAAAGCAGGAAAGTGATTTTGGGGTGGCTGAAAAGTCCCTGTGTTCATGCCCAACCCACCCGAGTGCCTTGGCTTTAAGGGAGCAGCAGTGAGTTCCCCCCACCCCTTGCCTTTGAATGGGGCTTAGTTTCATCTTTTGGGTTTTTGGGGGTTTTTTTTGGCATCCTTGGAAAAAAACCTGACCCATGACCTTGTGCACCCACGCATGTGTGTGCTGGGCTTGGTTTTTGGCTGTTTTTTTTTTTCCAGGCACATTTTTCTAAAGCAAATCCAGATGCATGCAGCTGCTGTCCCTCGAGGAGCCCCCCCATCAGCCAAATTGCAGGCCAGTCCAATATATGCAAACAAAAACATGTTTATTTTTACCAGCTCTGTAGGAAGTGAAGCAGGGAGGGTGGCCAGGGCAGAATTTGCAAGGGGAAGAGGTAGAGATAAAGCAAACGCCCCCTCTTCTCCGCCCGCAGCAGAGGAGGCATTGCTTAAATCGAGGAAAATTCTCATCTGGGGAGAGATGAAAATGAACAGAAAAAGGAAAAAAAAAATACCATTCCAGAGTGTCAGGGCTGATAAATCCCGTGTGGAAGAACAGAAAGAGAGGCTGAGCCTTGGCTCTGAGCATGTGCCTGCACAGCTGCTCCCTGTCACCACCAACCCCATTGCCCCTCTGAACCCACCACAGCCGGCTGGGGACCCTCTTGTCCCCCTTTCCCTTCAGACCCTGCTCACTGGGGCTCGATATTCCACCTCCTGGCACACTTGGGCTGGGGTAAGAGTGCTGCCCATGTGCACTTTGGGCTCAGCTTTGCTCTCCTTAACAGTAACAGGGAGGGACTGACTTGCAAAATTGTTCCCCCAAAATTCCCAGCTAGGGGTTTGGGGCAGGGTGCTGGCACGTGCTGAGGACCCCTGTGTTCCCCCCCCACCCCATTTGCCTCCCCCAGGGGTGCTGCCGGCTTGCTCCTGCTCACTCTGCTCCTCCCTGATGGCCGTGAGCTCAGCTCAGAGCTGCTGCCTGTCACCGGGGCAGGGTCAGGCCCCCGGCACAGCCAGCATCTCTGCATTAGCATCAGGGCTGGGCTTGGTCCCCTGACCCGGAGGGGCAAGTCTTTGTGCCCCCTGCCAGCAGCAGATAAGTACTGAGCGAGGAGGGGATTTGGTGTCCCCAAGGTAGGGTTCCCCCTGAGCACCTTGTCCTGGCTCCCCTTGGGGACACCCTCTTGTGTCCCCCCACCCCAAGTTTAATGCTGCTTTTGGTCAGAGGGAGCTTAGTGCTGGAGGGAATGGGAAGCATGAGGTAGGGATGGGACACAGATCCCACCCACCCTGTCCCCCCTGTCCTTATGGCCAGCACTCACAGCCAGCTAGAGAGTCACCCCAATGCCACCAGAGTCGTTTGGACAAGGAACCCCTAAGGACCTTGTGCCACCACCCTCGTCACCTCTTACAGCAAGGCAAATCCCCATGGCCAAAGCAGCTGAGCTGCAGGCTCTCCCGGGGGAATCTTTTGGAACCTCTGCCAGTTTGCTCCAGTTTGTCCCAGTAAAGGGGATCCCAGC